TGCTGTGCCTTTGCCACTTGATGAGCACTTAACTCTCAGGTATATGTTTATAAAGCGTCCATTTGGGTACAAGTATTTGGTAATGCATGCAGGCTGTGCGCACAGCATGATGGGCTAAAACTAGATTCAATTAGAAAAAACCGTTTGACACACTACAGTATCACCTATTGTAAAAAGGAATGTTAAACACAGGCTTATCAGTTGAAGCGAGCTGCTTTTCTTGCAGGTGCGAACAACCAGCGGGACCTGTGGCGCGTCTTTTTCAGCGCCAGCGGGGGAGCTGTGACGCGCGGCGCAGAGGTCACATTTCAGCCCGTTTCCGGGACAGTGAAGGAGATTCAGAGACAAAAGAGACGAGAAAAACTGGCTTCTTCTTCTTCTTCTTATTGCAGCGTGTGTGCACCCATTCGTGTCCAGGCGTTTAACATTCACTTAAGCCCCCCCCTCTTCTATAGAAAGAGAGAGAGTCAAAGTGAAACCTGGAGAAGCAGGGATACAGCCAGCCAATCAAAACCCCCTCCAGGCGTTTAAAGGGATGGTGGTGGGCAGTCTCTCGGGCTTTATGAGCGACTTCTTTTACAACCTCCGCACATTCTCACGTCCTGACCTCCCACAGACAGCCGAGCGTTTGGATGAGTAACAGCCTGGTTCGCCTGAGTCGTCATGGATCTGTCCTGAGAGCCGCCTTTCTGCTTCTTCTTCTATTTTTTTCTCCTCTTTCTCTCTCTCTCTCTCTCTCTCTCCTCCATATGAGCCGCTGCTGGATGCTCTTCGCCCTCCCCCCGCCGCACTTGTTGCGCAGAGACTGGATGCGCCGCTGAGTCCTTGGAGAGGAGAGGCAGGGACGGGCTGCAACAGGTGCACACAGCGCATCTCCTCCAGCAAGCATACATCGGAGGTAGGGAAATTACGCACCGCTTAGCAATCAATGGGACTAATATAGGTGTTGGTTTTTATTTGGACCAAAGATGTTCCAGCCTTGGTGATTTATTTGGCACCTGCGTGAGGGCTGCTTTACATTAATATAACTGTTTTTTCGTCTACTTTTTCTTTCACCTCAAGATTCCGGTGAACTTTAAATGCCAGTTTAAAGCCCCCCTTTTCTTCAGCCTTCACTGCGCGCACAAAAGCCAGGATGCCGGTCCTAACGAGCCCAGACATTGCCGACAAGTTTAAGGAGAAATGGCTGGCGGTGTACCCGGAGGATCAGGTCTCTGGGTCGGACTCTGCCCCCCTCGACGACAGCCTCACCAGCCTCCACTGGCTCCAGAATTTCTCCATCCTCAGCGCGGATCCGGAGCGACCCAACGGCGCCGGACCGGGGTGTCCGTCCTCCCAGCAGCACCTCTTTCTCAAGCGCCTCGGCTTCCCCAGAGCAGGCACCGACTCTCCGTCCAGCCCTCCGGCCGGGGACACCGCGGCCACCGGGATGCCTCTGTACCTCGGGAGCCCCGTCACCTCCGGCAGCGACTCCACCGCGGCCCCGCCGAGGTTCTCCAGTTGCGCGCATCCCACATCGGGCTACGCGCAGATCCCCATCCAGGCCAGCCCGCCGGTGGAGGTCGACTACAAGACCAACCCCAAAGTCAAGCCGCCCTACTCCTACGCCTCCCTCATCTGCATGGCCATGCAGGCCAGCAAACAGCCCAAAGTGACTCTGTCCACCATCTATAACTGGATAACGGAGAATTTCTGCTACTACAGACACGCGGAGCCCAGCTGGCAGGTAACCGAGACCGGATAAGTCTCCCTCTATTATTGATGAGGCTGATAAATGGGGAGGTGAGGGAGGGAACTGACTCCAGTGTCACCATCACACACACAGCACATCTTCAGGGCCACAGGACATCAGGCCTTTATCAAAGAGGGAGAACAGAAATCACAGATGTCTTAGAGGATGTTTAACATAAAAAAAAAACCTTTCAAGCTTAGTGTGTCCATTGTGCACTTGATTACTTCCATGAAAAGTGTTTTTTTTTATAACCAGGAGTATCTGAAATTTCCATCCATCCTCTGTATGAAAGAGAGAGAGCTCATACCAGGGTTTTAGTCTGAGGGGAATGATGGAGAAAGCACTCTAGTGTGTGTGTGTGTGTGTGTGTGTGTGTGTGTGTGTGTGTGTGTTAATGAGGGCTCCTGAGAGAGATGGCAGCTAAGCACAGCTGATCATGTTTGAAATGCACAGAGCTGCCTGCTACTAGAAAGCCTCATTAGGTACATTTGCTCTCCTATACAAACAACAACAATACCCCCAGCACCCACCCTCCTGTCTCCCATGCAGAGTGGCATTTCCAGTTTTTGCATGATTAACTTAAATTTTGCTCAGAGCAATTGGGGTCTATGTTAAGTCTTTTTTTTTCTTTTTCTTCTATCTTTGTCACAGAACTCGATTCGTCACAACCTGTCCCTCAACAAGTGCTTCAAGAAGGTCCCGAGACAGAAAGACGAGCCAGGGAAGGGAGGCTTCTGGCAGATTGATCCTCAGTATGCCGACATGTTCGTCAACGGCATCTTTAAACGCAGGAGGATGTCCGCCAACCACTACAGCAGCAGCAGCAGCAGCACAAACAGACAGAGCAAACTACTTCAGGGTTACCACAGCGCCCAAAATGGCTGCCCGTACCAAGGGTTGGGCGGCAAACGGAAGCACCCGCCTTCTAAAAACAACAGCAGCAAAGTGATGAGGGCCACGGAGTCCCCTCTGCTAGCAACGGAGGCCAACAAAGCAGACATCCTGAGGGGGGACTTCGACCTGGCGTCCGTGTTCGACGACGTCCTCGGCGGAAACTGTAGCACCTTTGAGGATTTGGACATCAACACGGCGCTGAGCTCCCTGGGATGCGAGCTGGAGGTCTCCATGCAGGGGAGGCAGCACTCGGCGGGGCTGGGGAGGTGGTGCGGAGGAGGGGACATTATGGGCCAGAGCCAGCACATGAACCACCATCAGTCCTACGGCTACATGGACCTCAGCGCTGCTGCTGCTTCCATGGAGTGCACGGTCAACATGGGAGAGCTGCACGTGCCTCAGCAGCATCCACAGCAGCTGGACCAGGACCAGCTGCTCCACGGCCACCACCAGCTGCAGCATTTCGACGAGGCCTCGGCGCTGTTCCCGGAGCAGCCGGAGGAGGCGGTGCTGCAGCCGTGGGAGGAGATTAAAGAAGAGGCGCAGGCCATTCCTCTGACTCTGGATCAGGGCTTCGGTCTGTGCGAGGGCTTCTTCACAGAGATGCAGCCATGGGAACGAGTGGAGAGCTATATGTGACCTTTGACACCAAACCACACTGACTCTTAATTACATACTCTTAATGATTGCTGGTCCATCTCTGTATTATCTGAAAGGATAACACTGGTGATAGTTAGAGCTACAACGCTTTTACTTCTCCCCGAATCAGTCTACAATGCACGCCGCATTTGTAATTTATTTTTTTTTGTTCTAAAATGAAAACCTACCCTGCAAACCCAGCGAACAAAAATGTCCTATAATGTCTATACCTGGCTTTTTTCCCCTCTGGGTGTCAGGTGGTTTCTAGAAAGAAGAGGGTAACATGATGCAGCGCTGATATTAAAACATTTAAATCAGTGAGGTGACAATAAAACACAGAGAGACGTTTATATACCAAATTAAATTTTCATATGGACTTGTCTCGCTCTGTAGAATCAATGGCACCAAATGACTTTTTTTTTTTTTCAGAAGGAAAAAAAAAATGAAGAAGAGGTGACTGTGTGAAGACTGATGCTCACCCTTTAAGCTGGATTCTCTGCAGCTCATATGCGAAGAAGTTGAAAACAGAGAACGAGCTGCAGCTACTTGTCGCTCTGGGGTTTTTGTTTTTTTTTTTGATTAACTGATCACAGCGACAAGAAGCAAAGCGAGGAAACTCGACCACACTCCATCAAAGCGCTCAAACAAGCACCGTCGCCACGAGACTGCGGGATTCTATTGTGCTACATTAGCATTAACTTTTTTACTAACATGCAGTGACATCAGCCATTCATCTCAACCGTCCGTGATGATGAGAGAAGAGAGAGTCACCGGAGCGGAATGGAAAGAACTTCATAGCACGAGATTAGAAATCATTCACTTATGACGTTGTTATATAGTCAATTTAATATATATTCACTAAAGTATATAGCATGAAGCTAGGCAAGATCATTTGCCATTTGTCTACAGTTACGTATTTCGAAGCAGAGGAGAGGAAGGCAGAAACGGAGTCATGAAATCGAACATTATGCACTTTGATAGGCAGCAGTTTTAGGAAAGCAAGACAGCTTTTGTTCAGGATGTTTAGTTTTTATTTTTTACGGTATTAAAATGATGCTTTTCCAGAGTTTACTGACCATGATGAAAACGATGCATATATGCTGTAATTGTCCATACCGATCTCTTCTACACACTGCAATAAGTCAAAATCAAGAGTTTGTTTGCTTCAATATACAGTTTTTCTTTTCAAATATTTGACATAAGTGGGCATTTTTTTTTTGATGATATCGCGCCAAATTTGTTGATAAGGAATATGCAGTTTATTGGTGTTTCTGTGTTGATTAATAAGAAAAGAGGAGAGTTCTGTCTTCTGTCACGGGGTGATGGATTTTCTTTCGTCCTTACTTTGGTGTATGTCTTTTTTTTTTATTTGTTTGTTTTCACAAATCTGATCAGAAATTTGGGAGCAGATACTTGGATTCAACTCTTAAAGGCCAGACTTTCTTATTGTATCATATTGATTAATGTTGGTTGACATGAACTCTTTAATCTTACCATGTTATTTTCATTTGTACTTTTTTAAAAGCTGTTTCAAAATGCAATCATGCCTTGATGCAATAAATGGTGTCAATTAAAGAAAGAAACGGAACGATCGCATGCATCCGTCACTTGAAATATCAGAGATCATGAGTCCTACACACATAGCGCTGTGGTCAGGTTTATTGTTTGAGTTGGAGTACTACGTGTGCAATCAGAAGATAAAAGGTCTATCAGGGTTTATCAATAATTAGCCCAGACAGGCCTGGACCTGCCTGGTACTTAAAACATACAAGGGGGTAAAAACAATACCATAAAACCTGTTCACTATAATGCGGTACACAAGATAGCATCAAATTCTACCTTCAGAATGGCTTTTCCTTTTTTTGAAACTACGTTAGAGAAGTATTCAACCATAATTTTTGAGATTTCCTACCTACTCATACTCATCTTCATGAATATCTTACTCAACAGTGGTTTAATCTAAGTGAGGAAGAAAGGGATACAAATAGATAAGAGTGAATAAATTAAACATTCAACGCTAAAATAAGATAGCAGTGACTTGGTGAGGCACAATTGTAGTTTAAGTTACCTGTTAGCATCAATGCTATCATTTTCATTGTGACAACTCTAGCATGCTAATGCTAAGAAGTCCATATATTCATCCTCAGTTTGTTGTGTTAGCTTGTTAACTATTGCTGGGAAGAAAAATATCTGCAATATGCCATAATGACTTACCTACCTAAGTTGTAATATGAAACAATGAGTTATTTTAATACAGAAATAATAACACAGAGAAAATAAACTCAAGCTAGCCGCTTTGAGAGGCTATGCTAATGCACACGATAGCGAAATGCTAAATTTAGCATGCTAACATACACTCAAGGACAGCTTAACATGTTTAACAGGTATAATGTTTGTACTGTTCACCACCTTTGTTTAGTGTTAGTATGCTAACATTTGGTAATGGTAGCTAATGCTAAAGCCCATATAATGTTTAGCACCTCACTTTAGTGTGTTAGTTTGGTAACAATTGCTGATTAGCAAAATATTTGTAAATATATGCAAAAATAAGTTGAAAACAAAAGAACAAACTCAAGCTAACAACTTCAAGAGGCTGTCTTCATGCAGCGATGCTTGAGCTAAATGCTAAATTCAACATGTTAACATTCTCTCAATGACTATTTAACATATTTGGCAGCCATAATGTTAGCATGCTAGCATGTCCCAAGTATCAGTAAAGTATAAACAGGCTGACAATGTCATTTGTTTTACAGGTATTTGGCTAAAAACTGAAGCATTACACCATCTGAAATATTGACCTGATGGTGGTGCTATGAAAACTCTGAGGATCATCAAAGTTATTAAACACAAATGCCCAACCAAATGTCATAGTCCATCCAATATTTTTTAAGGATGTTTTTCTCAAAACCACAAATGTCAACCTCACGTTGGCAATACAAAAAGACCTTGGGGATTTAGGGTTCATCCTCTGGGCACCAAGAATGTCAGTCCCAGTCAACGTTCGCTAGTGATAGGAGATGAAAATTCAGGTTATCGAAAATCTGTATTTGGCATGACAGTAGACAGAAGTACAGTCTACGAAAGGCAACAATCACAAAGGCCCAATGTTAAAAGTCTATTTCCTATATGCTAATACAGTTCGGTCCAGTAACTACTTGTCATTGTTTTGTTGCGCTCATAGTTGATGCCACAGTCGAACACAATCGCTAAAAGGTCCGATTAGGGGGTTGTTCCTGTAAACATTTGTACAATATCAAGTTGTTGCAGTTAAAATCTGCTTAATAATTGTCCATGGTCAGAAGGGTTTTTGTTTTTTTTACCCCAAGCAGTTAAAAGAAAAAAATAACCCAGGGCCAGGCCATGCAAAGTACAATCATTATGTGTTGCAAGTTCACATTCTTTACAGCTAATTAAAAGTTTTGATTGTGTGCTTCAGGGTCAAATTAGTTTAATGGGAGGACAAACAACAATCATCTCTAATCAACACTTTTGTCAAATCTAAATTATTGTTATGGAAATTAAACACACTGTACAGTCAGAAAACACTTAAGTGTGTGCGTTAGAACAAATTAGCACGAAGGCAATTAAAGATGCATATGTATGCATATTTTAAAACCAATGTGTGAGTATTAAATGACTTTTCTACTGTATGTTTATAAAATGTGTAGGGAAATATATAGGACATCGTTGAGACAGAGGCAGCAGATCAAATGCAGTCAAGTGTAATGTCGTTTGCTATTTCGAGGTCGTGCATGCAGGTCGGCAGAACATGCGACACGATGACCTCCTCCACAAAACTAAGACACATCTGGTAGCTGTTGGAAAAATGCCCTCAAAACTTAGCACCACATCTCATCTCAACCTTCTCCAGGATTTTGCTTGCATGCCCCGTATGAAAATGCGCTTTTCCACCTCAAATCTCTTTTTAATTGAAATTGTTGGGAGGAAAAAGGGGGGAAATGCGGCTTATCCCCGTCCTCCCAGTGGCGACAGGTCATGTGTGGAGATCTCCAGGAATGGGTGGAATAACTCAGATTCCTTAAAACAGCAGGTACCGCGGCCAGATTCGAGGCCGAGGCGTGTGACCACCGACCACCCTGCATCGAGAAAATCACTTCAGCTGATCGAGTGGCCGCTCCTGCGACGGCTTAAGGTCACTTTGAAGCGGCTGGCTGAAAAATGTCGGCCTGGAGAGGAAACATCAGTGTCACTACCACTGTCAAGTGTAAGAGTCAAGCAGTGTCCATTGTACTGTGTGTGTGTGTGTCTGTGTGTGAACTTTCACATTTGTCTCTGTTTGTCTGCAACCCCGCGCGCATGCACTTGTGTGCGGTTACATTATATGCCCATAATGTTTGTGTTGGTCCGCGGGTTTCTTTGTCTGCGCTCATGCTGATGTGTGTGCCGCCCGCTGAGAGTGTGTGTACACGGCTGCGATTGGAGCCCCGTGGCGGCCCAGATAACACTATCTCTGTGGAGCCAGAGCCCCGCGGTTCTATTCAGCGTGGTGGATGAGAGGCTGGGACTGCCCAGCATGCGGACCTGCTGAAAGAAGGAGGAACAAGCCGGGCTGTCACTGTAGGCTAACCTGGCTTATAATGCTTTATAACCTCTTCTTTGGTGCCCCTCTGGGAGGCTCTGCACCGCTCTGGGTGTGTGTTTGGGGGACAACACAGAGGAGGGCAAAGGCAGGGACGGAGACAAGCGGAGGGTGTAGTCGGTGTTTTATTGCCATCATGGCACCCTCTGGACGGCTTCAGATTAGAGTCAGGCATAAACAGGGTCAAACGGATTTGCAAAAGAAGTGCCCCTCCCAGGGTGATATAGACAGTGGGTTCAACTCCCCACTTATTGGGTAAAGCCACGGAGCTATTCTTTATTGGTGAAAGCAGATAGAAGACACATGATGGGGGTCCCTCACTAATTAGATCCCTCATTGTGCCACAAAGCGAAAAGTGACAGTGGTGGAAACGCCCTAAGCCTGTTTTATAGCCCCCGAG